CAAAATCCCCAAAAATCCCGGAATTTCAGCGCCAGCAGCGGCGAGTAGAGGGGGTTGGTGGGGGTCCGGAACGGGGGGCGGGGGGCGCCGATCACCGACACGATGGCCTGGGGAGGGGGATATTGAAAATTGAAAAAAATTTTAAAAAATCTGGTTAAAATTGCAAAAAAATCGGCTTAAAAATGTAAAAAATCCGCTCGGAATTGCAGAAAAATCCGTTCAAAATCCCCCAAAATCGGCTCAAAATGCCCCAAAAAATCACCCGGAATGGGGGCGGGGGGCGCCGATCTGCGACACGATGGCCTGGGGAGGGGGATATTGAAAATCGAAAAAAATCCCCCAAAAAATCGGTCAAAATGATAAAAATAGGCTTAAAATCGGAAAAAATCCTCTCAAAAATGCTCAGAATCCCCAAAAATCCGCTCAAAATCCCCAAAAAAACCACTCAAAATCCCCAGAAAAATCCCATTAAAATCCCCACAAAAAATCCCGCTCAAAATCCACACAGGGACTCGAAAACTCTTCAAAATCCCAAGAAAAAAACCCAGAAAAACCCAAAAAATTAAAAAATAAATCGGAAAAAGTCGGAAAAAATCTAAAAAACCCAAAATCGCCCAAATTCAGCCCAAATTTCTCACCTGCGCCACGAGCTCGGGGCTCTGGCCGAAGGTTTGGAACACCTGGCGGGACGCGGGCAGGGAACACCCCCGATAAAACCCCAAAAAATCCCAAAAAACGCCAAAAAAATCGGGAAAAAATGGGAAAAAATCGAAAATTCGCCAAAAAGACCCAAAATTCCCCAAATTCAGCCCAAATTTCTCACCTGCGCCACGAGCTCGGGGCTCTGGCCGAAGGTTTGGAACACCTGGCGGGGAACACCCCCGAAAAACACAAAAAAAACCTTTAAAAAACGCCAAAAAAATCGGAAAAAAATCGGAAAAAACCGGAAAAAAATCGGAAAAAAAATCGAAAATTCGCCAAAAAGCCCCAAAATTCCCCAAATTCGCCCCAAATTTTTCACCTACGCCACGAGCTCGGGGCTCTGGCCGAAGGTTTGGAACACCTGGCGGGACATGGGCAGGAAACAAACCCCAAAAAACGCCCAAAAATCCCAAAAAAACGTCTAAAAAACGCTAAAAAAAATCGGAAAAAAATCCAAAAAAATCCTAAAAACCCCAAAATCGCCCAAATTCAGCCCAAATTTCTCACCTGCGCCACGAGCTCGGGGCTCTGGCCGAAGGTTTGGAACACCTGGAGGGACGCGGGCAGGAAACACCTCAGAAATCCCATAAAAAACCCCAAAAAAATGCCAAAAAAAA